GTTTCAAAACTGGAAATACATTCGATAAACGTTTGAGCTTAAATTTCCCGAAGACGCCACCAATCAAGAACGCAATCTGTTTCGTCAAAACGAAACTTCTGCGGCTCGGTGCGTAAACAGTCGCTTCTTTTTTATAGGAAATGTGTTGATTGCAATACTTCATGTTCAGTTGTCCTACCCGCGAGGTACTGGGTTTAGTTCGCATATTATGTGATGGACCATGTGCTCTAGTTTGTTGTTAACGTTTCGTTTTCGTACGTTTTTGTCACGTTTCTATCTGGTTACAAATTTTTCGAACCAGATCTTACGATCAATACCAAACTAAACCAGATCGTCTAGTCAAATCATTATTTCGAATCGGATTATATGGATTGAGACAGACTAAATAGAGTAAGAGGATCAAGTCGAATATTTATTCTACAAAATGCGAGGCGAAATTTTTTTTTTCAAATGCGGTCTCAGTCAACAGTTTTCTTGTCTCGTTCTCGGTTCGTATTGAAGTTGTATGACATCTTTTTTGACTTTTCTTGGCTTTTCAGTCCCCAAGGGCATTAAGAGTATTTCTCATTCAGTAATTACAACCTTGTCTTTTCATGCTGTACTACAAGTTGTTTCTTGTACTTTCACAAGTTTTTTAAAACTTCCATACTCTCTCTATATTCCATCAAATTGTACGAAGCAAAACTAGCTTGCTCTGCTGGATATTACACAAATTGATCTCCAATCAAAATCTTGATGTTGTACCTGTGTTACTCATTCTATCAATATCTTTTATATTATAACCAGAAAAAAATTGATGAACTTGACAAAATCAAAGCAATTCTCCTCCATCACAACATCTCTGTACTTCTAAATATGAATCAAAGTGGCTGATTTGAAAGATCTCCTGCTACAGCACTGTAACAAAACTGTGATAATTTCTATAACTTTTGTGTCAGGTCATGACGATAACAATTACACAGTGACTCCTCAGAGGGAAAAATTTAGCAATTACTACCAAGACACATTTGTGCCAGTAAATTTTATCAATGGTTCAATGATCAATGCAATAAAAAGAGAGGAACAAAAGGGTGACTAATGTCTTGAAACAAAAGGAGCAAAGTGGGCTGATTTGCCTCCTACTCAGTAAGCAAGGATGTACACCAGAAAGGCATCCACCAAAGCAACATTAAGTCGCCACCACTCACAGTGCAATGAACTCAAGCGGTGGAGACAGAGATGACTTTGAACGAGTATTTCAACTATTGAACTGTCTCGCTGAACAACTAAAAAGTAAATCCTCTTAAGAGATGATTAATGCCATTTATAAAAGCACAATAAGTTCAAGCGACAGAGATGATGATTTCACTCTGAAGTGTCAACCATTACAAAAATCTGACTTGTACTTTGATATACTCGATGAACCTACAGAAAGTGAAAAATTATTACATCCTACAAATCAACATTATGCAGCGTTCAGTGAAGTCAGTGACTAAATGTTTCGTAGACGTACAGATCTACGGACGTTCTTAAACTGGAAGTGAATGTGTCAAGAATAATTGGCACTATGGGCGATGATCATTTCCCAGCGTAGGAGTGTTCCTTGATGTTTGCACTCCAATGTTTATTCTCTCTGTTTCCTGCAGAAAAGAAAATAAAAAAAGCTAACAAACACGTAATTAACCACATCGATAAATAACCCTCATTAGTATATACTAAAACAGTGGATGGCGTTGAAGGCGCTCTCTGATCGGCTAGTCAAACTCCGAAGATCCTTTGCTATTTACCTCCGAGCAACTCGGAAAAAAATGGCGTCCCGGTTTGCATCCGTGACAAGCGAAGAAATCATTCATATTAACGACTGTGATGTAAATTATCTCACTCTTTTAGTATATGCTAAAACAACTATTAACCTCAGTGCCGGTTGTTAGCGGTGGATATTTACCTCGCCGCTTAGCGGCTCGGTAAATATCCACCACTAACCACCTCCACTTCGGTGAATAGTTGTTAACTATAGAAAGCTGAAAGTTTTGCGTAATGTTTGTTGGTGCTTTGATGTAGCCTTTTGACGTTTGTACACGATAAGACAATTAGAGAAACAATAAACGAACAGGAACACAAACTATCCAGATAACAGGGGGATGTGGGTACCGTGTTGTGTTTCAGCTAACGCTTACCTGATCAGCAAATAAAATCCGATAAACAGGTGGTTGCAAAGTAAACCCGCAGTTCCTGAAAAAAGAGGTTTTGTTTCTTGTTCAAAAGAAGTTTGATTGTAGTGATAACTTTTGAGAGCTACATAACCATTGAGTGAGTAACAGCCCAGTCTGCTTTATCATTCATAAAACACCGGAGAAATTGTAGGGTACTTCGTTTAGTCCTCTGACTTCGTTCATGATGAGTTGTATGGTTCAAAGTAAAATCATTCTGGGTTGTTACTTACGTGGTACGGATACGTAAGTCGTTTTGCTGTGAACATTCGGTGGCTATTTCTCCTCTCTCAGTCAACCGCATCTCATGAAAGCGGCCCTGATGAATTTAGAAAAAGTGATGAAAGTTTTATGGAGGAAAAAGGAAGATAGTGGCGCCCATGCTATATTTTCGCCAAGAAGTAGTAGGCTTCTAATTCACTTGCTTCTATCTAGCTTTCCGTATTTTTTAAATTAATTTGACGTGGAAATCCTAATTTTCCCACGATGGTCAACCGCAATGTAATTACAATTTAACTGTGACCTGACAAACTTTGATAGGCAAAGCCAAAGAGAGCTCTTCTTTTACGTGACAAGTGTAGTTCAACACTTATTGTGCTTTATGCATTTTTAAGGAGATCAGAATTTACCTTTCTCTCAAGGTCTAATCCTGTTGTGATTCCACCATGCGGAAATAGGGATCTATAGACCATCTCCACTTGCTGGGCCGCCATCTTTCTTAATCCTACATCGAATAAAAAAAGGTGTGTACATCAGTATTTCATCGTTATAATTTATAGAATTTGTTCCTTCTTTTCTCGGTTGGGTCGAGATCAGACAATGGTAGCGTGGAGGCTACCATTGTCATTGTCTTCCTCGTTTTAGAATGGTTAAGAATTCAAAACAAAATCTTATATAAGGACATGAAAGGCAAGAAGAGCACTTGCCTGACCCTTATTAATCAAAAATAGAAAAAACTAGAGAAAAAGGCTATTAATCCAAAATGGCGGCCGCGCGACAAATACTGGTATGAGTTACGCGAAAACGAGGCTAAGGGGCCAAAATTTGAATGACTGTATATTTCCGAAGCATATTTGTGTGAGCAAACGATGCCTAAATATTGTTGTGTTCCCTTTTGTCACAAAAAGGTTTATCGCGAAAATGGTAAAAAAATATCCTACTTTAAATTTCCCGAAAACAAATGCAAATAAAGCAATGGTTGATGTATGGATCTGAGCAATTCGAAGAGATGTTGGTCGCAATTTTCAGATCACAACAAACAACAGAGTCTGCTCTAGACACTTTAAAGACAGCGATTACAAAACAGCCCTTGTTGGAAGGAGAAAACATAATGTTATAATAAAATTAATTGCAAATAAATTATTATTGCAAAATAAATTGCAAATAAAGCAATGGTTGATGTATGGATCTGAGCAATTCGAAGAGATGTTGGTCGCAATTTTTAGATCACAACAAACAGCAGAGTCTGCTCTAGACACTTTAAGACAGCGATTACAAAACAGCCCTTGTTGGAATGAGAAAACTTAATGTTGACGCCGTTCCCTCCTTTTTTTAAGGAAGAAATGTTCGCCTAAGAAGCGAGACACCCCATCCGCACGAAACCAGCAACAAGCGTGCAAAACGCTGAAAAAGAAAGGCAACAAAGAACTTATGACGAAAACAGGACTCGAGACAGCGAAAAACAATAGGCAATACACCGTCTCCCTACCCGCGACGAATCTGTGAATAAACTCGAGTAGAAACTGTGACAAACGAAAGTGTTTCCCAACTCAAAGAAATAGACGAAAAACTTAAGCTGGAGATGCAAGAGACTTAACATACCCTAAAGGCAGAGAAGCAGAAAGCAAAAGCGTTGGAAAGCGAGATGAATAAAATGAAAGAACAGCTACGTATCTTAACAATACGCTGCTAAGATTACGAAAAGAAATCGTTTTCGTTCATTCAGCTGAAGAAGAGTGACAAGTTGACAAATTTCTCTACACGTTTTTCGAGAGTAGGAGTTTCAATGCTTTGTACGATTTTTGTGATCCTGGAGAGGATGGCGAAAACATTTGGCACTCTAGCTCCACAAGCCAATATACTATAGTTCTCAATTAATCTTCTCTGAAAGTCGGTGGACCTCGAGTACTTCACCCCAAAGAAGAATCATTTATTACTCTTTGTAGACTTAGGCAGGGCTTCCCAGAGGACCACCTGGCCTATTTGTATGGTATATCACGATCCACATTTAGCAGAATCATTATTACTTGGGTGAACGTTTTGTATTTGAGGTTCAACGATATACCCATGTTGCCATCGAGTGAAATTCCAGCAATTCAAGAAAAAATATCCTTCCACTGGAGTAGTCATTGACTGTACAGAGATCGAAAGTCAGATGCCCAGCAGCCTTCTCTTAAACAGTGAACTTTTTAGTGCTTATAAAAATCAAACCACCACACCAGGTAGGGCTTTTTCCTTTTTAAACCAGATATATACTGGCTATATCTCAGACAGAGAAAAAGTACGGCGAACTGGTTATTCAGATCAACAATTTGACAATGGTGATAGTATCGTGGCTGATAAAAGCTTCACAATAGAAGAACTGCTTCCCCCTGGAATCAAATTAAATATTCCACCTTTTCTTGGATCTCAGGGACAAATGAACCCTGAAGATGTTGTGAAAATACAAACAATTGATCCCTGAGAATACATGTGAAAAAGGCCATAAACAAAGTTGAAAATTTTCACATTTGGGATAGTGTTCTCCCCCTNAACAACAATAACAATGAGAAAAATTTAAATTTCACTCTGCAAGTAATTTTCTAGGAAAATCTACGGCTACTTGGATTCCAAGAATCGCAAAACATTATTCAAGATGCATACATGGCATATTTTAAACTGTTTACTACGAGCGACATCATCCAGCTGTCTTGTTATCCTGCAAGGAATTAACAATTATGGAAAACTTGGAATCAAAACTGTTCCGTAGCCGTGTGGAATTGTGAGACGGATGTCTTTCTACAAATACGCTTGCAAGAGGAAGTTTGTCTACAGTCACACCATATCATGCTGAAGGGGCCGCTAAGGTAATGATCCTACGAGTTATTTTCAAGAATCCATCCGGTCTAAGATAGTTTAATGTAGCACTGAAATATGTAAGCTGCCTTAAAAAGAAAAAAAAGAAGCCAAAGAAATTTCAGTCGAACGTCTATATAACAGTGGACTAGATCCGCCGCAGTAGTACGGTCAATTCAATTCAATTCATTGCTAAGCATTTTCAAGTGATACGATCGACTTTCAATTTACCTTTCTCTCAAGGTCTAATCCTGTTGTGATTCCACCATGCGGAAATAGGGATCTATAGACCATCTCCACTTGCTGGGCCGCCATCTTTCTTAATCCTACATCGAATAAAAAAAGGTGTGTACATCAGTATTTCATCGTTATAATTTATAGAATTTGTTCCTTCTTTTCTCGGTTGGGTCGAGATCAGACAATGGTAGCGTGGAGGCWACCATTGTCATTGTCTTCCTCGTTTTAGAATGGTTAAGAATTCAAAACAAAATCTTATATAAGGACATGAAAGGCAAGAAGAGCACTTGCCTGACCCTTATTAATCAAAAATAGAAAAAACTAGAGAAAAAGGCTATTAATCCAAAATGGCGGCCGCGCGACAAATACTGGTATGAGTTACGCGAAAACGAGGCTAAGGGGCCAAAATTTGAATGACTGTATATTTCCGAAGCATATTTGTGTGAGCAAACGATGCCTAAATATTGTTGTGTTCCCTTTTGTCACAAAAAGGTTTATCGCGAAAATGGTAAAAAAATATCCTACTTTAAATTTCCCGAAAACAAATGCAAATAAAGCAATGGTTGATGTATGGATCTGAGCAATTCGAAGAGATGTTGGTCGCAATTTTCAGATCACAACAAACAACAGAGTCTGCTCTAGACACTTTAAAGACAGCGATTACAAAACAGCCCTTGTTGGAAGGAGAAAACATAATGTTATAATAAAATTAATTGCAAATAAATTATTATTGCAAAATAAATTGCAAATAAAGCAATGGTTGATGTATGGATCTGAGCAATTCGAAGAGATGTTGGTCGCAATTTTTAGATCACAACAAACAGCAGAGTCTGCTCTAGACACTTTAAGACAGCGATTACAAAACAGCCCTTGTTGGAATGAGAAAACTTAATGTTGACGCCGTTCCCTCCTTTTTTTAAGGAAGAAATGTTCGCCTAAGAAGCGAGACACCCCATCCGCACGAAACCAGCAACAAGCGTGCAAAACGCTGAAAAAGAAAGGCAACAAAGAACTTATGACGAAAACAGGACTCGAGACAGCGAAAAACAATAGGCAATACACCGTCTCCCTACCCGCGACGAATCTGTGAATAAACTCGAGTAGAAACTGTGACAAACGAAAGTGTTTCCCAACTCAAAGAAATAGACGAAAAACTTAAGCTGGAGATGCAAGAGACTTAACATACCCTAAAGGCAGAGAAGCAGAAAGCAAAAGCGTTGGAAAGCGAGATGAATAAAATGAAAGAACAGCTACGTATCTTAACAATACGCTGCTAAGATTACGAAAAGAAATCGTTTTCGTTCATTCAGCTGAAGAAGAGTGACAAGTTGACAAATTTCTCTACACGTTTTTCGAGAGTAGGAGTTTCAATGCTTTGTACGATTTTTGTGATCCTGGAGAGGATGGCGAAAACATTTGGCACTCTAGCTCCACAAGCCAATATACTATAGTTCTCAATTAATCTTCTCTGAAAGTCGGTGGACCTCGAGTACTTCACCCCAAAGAAGAATCATTTATTACTCTTTGTAGACTTAGGCAGGGCTTCCCAGAGGACCACCTGGCCTATTTGTATGGTATATCACGATCCACATTTAGCAGAATCATTATTACTTGGGTGAACGTTTTGTATTTGAGGTTCAACGATATACCCATGTTGCCATCGAGTGAAATTCCAGCAATTCAAGAAAAAATATCCTTCCACTGGAGTAGTCATTGACTGTACAGAGATCGAAAGTCAGATGCCCAGCAGCCTTCTCTTAAACAGTGAACTTTTTAGTGCTTATAAAAATCAAACCACCACACCAGGTAGGGCTTTTTCCTTTTTAAACCAGATATATACTGGCTATATCTCAGACAGAGAAAAAGTACGGCGAACTGGTTATTCAGATCAACAATTTGACAATGGTGATAGTATCGTGGCTGATAAAAGCTTCACAATAGAAGAACTGCTTCCCCCTGGAATCAAATTAAATATTCCACCTTTTCTTGGATCTCAGGGACAAATGAACCCTGAAGATGT